CTTGATAGTTGTCATGCACATCATCAATATCATCCTTGACGACTTCCATGTATTCTTCTTCATCGGTCTCTTCTGAGTCAGCTTCCTCCTCAACCTCTGAAGCTAATGTGCGAGTGCGACTAGACCCAGCAGCTCCTCTACTCCTTGGTGCTCTAGTGTTAGGTCAATCTTCTTCATTAACCCCTGTTGCTAGCTTGACATCAAGCCATGTAAGATCCTCACCCTCAAACACATGCTCGTCTTGGATCTACGGTCCACTCACTTATGGAATCATCATCAGCATCATATAATTGAATAGGGTTGAGCTTCGTGCGATTTTCATACCTCTCTTTAAGCCGTTTGTTATACCGCACATAAACCAAATCATTCAACTTTTTCTGCTCCAACCTATTTCTTTTTGTTGTATAGAGCTGTGGTAGAAATTTGAAATCAGATAAAGTAGATTTTAGATTAGAAAATTGAAATTCAAGAAATAAGGAATAAGGATTAAGGAATAAAGAGTAAAGGACCTACATGCTCAAATGTACTCCAATTGCGCTCACAACCAGATGAGCTACATGTGAGATTCAAGACTCGAATAGCGAGATGTTGTAGATTTGGTGTCTCGCTTCCATATAATGCCCACCATGCAGCTGTATAATATTTTATAATTTAGAATATAGTTAAAAATTAATGGTATAAAATAAACAATGTAATTATACATAAAGTAAGAGACAAGTAAGATTATTTTTGGGCTTTTGGCTTTTACCTGGATCTGTAGTATCCCTATTTCGAGTGGTAATATCTCTCCCAAAGTTTCTCAAGGCTAACTTGAACTTAATCAATTTATTGCTCTGGATCTCATCCTGGATATCTTGGTCTGGCACCAACCTCTCCAGCACATCTAAGAACCCACCATTTATTACATGATTTGACTCAATGGATGGGTGCTTTAGAAAATAACCGGCTGAATGGAGGTGCTTGTGAAGCTGGGTATCCCATCTCCTATCAATAATTTCAAGTATAGCCGTGCGCATATTTTCATCATCCTTTAAAACATCTTTTATTTCAGTTCTTGCCCTAGTCATTGCCTCATGTATGTAGCCCATGGTGGGTTTCGCATCACCATCAACCAGTCTAAGCACTCTCACTAAAGGGCAAGCTACCTTCAAAGCAATAATTATTTGACTCCAAAAAGATGTATTCAGAATAATTTTTCCAGCCTTTCTCCAATCCTTATGCTTTGACCATTTGTTTTGACTCCATTGCTTTGAAGCAAACATGGTCTTTAAGGCACTTTTTTGCTTGGCTAAGCTTTGAAGTGTGAGAAATGACGTGGCAAATCTAGTGATACCCGGTCTCACTAATTCTCACTTCTTTGTAAAAGTCTTCATCATGCTTAGGACTATAGTGTGATGGTAAATAAATCCAACAACAAACATAGCTCTTGAAATCACCCCACTAAATAAAGATGTACCCATTTCCTTAAGCATAAGATAACGCAGTGAGCTACACAAAGAGTCCAAAACATATGCTTCCTTTTCAAAGTCAAGAAATGCCCAGTTGCAGCATAGTTGGCACCATTGTTAGTGATAATTTGTACCACACTTTTTTCCCCAACAAAATCGACAATCTCATCCATCAAGCCAGATAAGTATATACCATCATGTGACTTGTCTGATGCATCAATAGACTTAACAAAAAAAGTACCTGTTGGGCAGTTAACCAGAAAATTAATGAATGCCCTTGATTTCCCATCGGACCAACCATCACACATAATAGTGGCCCCATATTTCTCCCACCCTTCTATCTGAGAAATCAAAATTTTATTCACATCAAATACAACATCCTTCAACAAGGGCTCCCTAACCTCATGTAGTGAAGGAGGAATAAGTCCTGGCCCATATTTCCCAATTTCCTGGACCATACATGCAAAACTATCTAGAGTTATAGTATTAAAAGGAATGCCGGCCATGTAAATCCACTTTGCAATCCACTTACATACCGACTTCCTTTGTTTTTTCTTATATTTATTGTCAATTGTGGTTTGTTTTGTTGTTTTGTTTCTCTCCTAAACCATAATTTCGGGGCTAGGGGTGAAAAAAGAATCTATTGGCCCCTTAGAGAGAGGTGTTCTTCTCTCAGCACTACCACCAATATTTATAACCCTCTCTCTTGAGGTTGGAGAATGAGTACCCCTTTGCCTCATAGCAACTTCAGACATATCATCATCATCAACATCATCAAAACATCAAATAATTGCATATTGTCAAGTAATTCCTCTCTTTTTTTTTCTTTATCTTTTTTCAATCTATCCAAATATTCTCTAATCTCCTTTTTTATATCATCTGTAGCTTGTGGGCATGCTCTTACATTCCCAGAAATTCCGGCTAAATGCTCTTTTTGTCGAAAAATACCACCCATATAAGTATTTTCACAGAGCAAGCATATCACACAATTACTATCTTTCGGATTTTTTAGTTTAGCATATTTTCAAGCCGGATCCTTGTTACTAGAAGATTGGGAAGAAGACATTGCCCCAAAAATAAGTATAACGGTATTATTGTACAAGAAGGAATAAAAAGTTACCGACTCTGTGAAGTAGTGCTCGATTTCTTCACGGCCTCTGAAATCGCCAATTTCTTACCACAAATTCACCTTAACATCCCCAAATCAACAATCAAAAGCATCAAATGAACATCAAAGTATCAAACAACCGCCAAATCAAAGATTTGGATGAAAAAAAAATTTTCGCCAAATTTTTTTTTTCCTTCGATTTGATGCCAAAAAAGCCACAAAAGTGGCTGGAAATCTTCGTGTAGGGGGTATAGTAACCCCCCAAACAGTTTCCCTAAACTTTGGAACTACAAAAAGACCATTTTGCCCCTCAACCAGGGGCAAAATCGAAAAAACATTTCCCGGAAATAGATGCGGCGAGATGCGGTCTGATGCGGGATGCGGCCATGATGCGGCTGTATCTGTCAAAAGCGCATATGCGCTTGAACGCGATGCGGATGCGAGCGCATCCCGCATGATGTGGCCGCATATGCGGCGATGCGGTCGCATTTTATATCTGATTTTTTCTCTAGGTTCCGAACATGGTAAAAATGGATCTAGGGTTTTCTCTGAATATTGTTTTGTGGTAATTTGTTCTCTGTAGGGAAAAAATAATTTGGCAGTTTTTTTTGGTAAACAGTTCTATGTAGAAACCTTGCCCCTCATCCCTCCTTTCAAGCCTTTCTCTCTGCACTCCAGCTAAATTTCACAGTTCTCTCATTTTCCAATTCTTCTTTCATCTGGTTTCTTCTACTACACAGATGACAATCATAACCATTTGGTGTGCCTTTTTACTTTATTTCTTTTTTGTGACTGCTATCATCTGAAAATGAGATAAATAATTAGATTGCTTAAATTTGATTCATGGTTAGCTTATTTTTTCTTCATTGATAGTTCTTTTGTTGGTCATGAGGGAAGAAAGAAAAAAATTTGCAGTATTACTGTCCTTTTTGCCATAGGTTTAGATTAATAGGTTTAGATTAATCTTACTTTTTATTTTTCAATATCAAGCATAGGGTTTTATCTGACCATTGAGAATGTAGTTATGGAATCAGCGAACAAAAAAAAAAAACAACTTGTTATAGATTGATTGGAATTTTTTGCAAATAACAACATTTCTCAAGGAAATCAGCAGGAAATTTGTTGAGTTTGTTGTGGAATTTTAGTTCCGGAAATGGTTGAAGAATCCAATATTCAATTTAATTAATCCTGACTATTTGATGTATAGAATAGTTTTCTAGGCAAAACAGAACAAATCATTGCCATGAAGTTTGAATGAGAGAAAAATGATTATCTTTGATGATTGAGGTGAAGTTTAGTTATGATTGTGATTGGGGTAATTGTGAAATATTTAAAGGTTTATTGCTTCTAAAGTTTGTATGACTCTTTCATATGACTGAACTATCCAAAAAAGAATGTCAATGTTGCTTACCATTATAATGTCAATGCTGCTCACTATTATACAGTTTATAGTATGTTATCAGTTGAAAATTGGCCCTTCATATAGCTGTGTTGGACTTATTTTCCTCACGAATGAATATATCGATAGTAACATAGCTTTAGATGTTTGTTGCTCTCTTTTGGTCTTTTCTAATGATGTTTGATAAACACATAATAATAATAATAATATGGTTATTCTGTCTGTGTGTAGACTACAGAGTAAGGCCTGTTATGTAACTGATTAAAAAGTATTTGTATGTATGTGAAGAGTACATCGTTATTTTGTCTGTGTTTGTAGACTACAGTGTAAGGCCTGTTATGTAACTTAGAACTTCCTTATATTCCAGCAGATTATCAAAGCCAGAGACCCATAACTTCTTTAACGTTCCAGCAGGTTATCAAACCTTGAAACCCAAAACTTCTTTAACATTCCAGCAGTTTATCAAACTCAGAAACCCAGAACTTCTTAGAGTAACTGCTTTCTTCTCAGCAAAGAAGAACTTCCAATTTCCCGGGAACATTTACCTTCCAGTTATCAAACATATTGGAAGACATTAGGAGTGGCAACCTTGATGTGGACCCAAAAAATGATACGAGGCTCAGACCCATACCCAAATTAACCGGAACCAAAAATATAGTGTGGGACTTGGAGCTGGACCTAGGTCCAGATGTGATCGGACCCAGGTTGGACCCTACCCAAAAATTAAAATATTTATATATTTAACTATATTTAAATATGTTTTGTATATTAGGACCCAAAATCCGGATCCGACCAGACCCAAAGACCTGCCAGATCCAATTTTTTGACCCACGCTCGGACCTCGATCAGGTCTACCCTTTGGGTATCGGGTCTGCCCGGGTCCATTACCACCCCTTTCAAGATATTTCCTATGTGCCAAACGACCACTACATCCTATTGTCCGTGCTAAGATTATAAGTGATGCATTCTATAGTCCCTCGATTTCAAAACCCTAGCCAAAACACACTCTCTCTAACTACCCGCCGAATCTCTCTCTTCCTCTCTGCGAACTCTACCTGGGTGTATCAAGCTTTCCATTTGGACACTCAGAAGCTTTCATTTTGGACTCCTACATTAATGGTGAAGATAACACAAACCAGGTATGAGCTCTGGCCTTAAAATATGTTTTTTTGGGTTTCGTTCTTGTTAATTGTGGATATATTTTATGTAGGGCTTGGATGTAGTTTAGTGTAGGGGTTCGGAAAGTTTGATACTTGGTAGAATTGTATTTATTTGAATGATATTTTTAACTGTTTTTCTCTGTATTTTGTTCATTGGACAGCATGATGGTTTGCCATTTGAAAATGTCGCCCCCAATCAGTTATTCTGGTTTAAATTTCGTCTTTTGTATCTTCTCATTTGATTTTTATGCTTACCTCTATACTATTGTATTCAATTTTGTTGCATGCATTTAATCTGTCTTTTTTGCGTTCTCGCTTGATGATTCTTGAAAAATTTGCAATTTAGCCCTTAATTTCTGAATCACGGGGCCTCTATTTTCTTTGCTTAGATGTATTAATGTGTTAGGGTTTTTTCATTTGAGCCAGAGCTATAAGCTAACATGTATATCAACTGTTCATTTTATGTTTGTTTGATTTTCTTGCTTTTTTCTGTATAACGTTTTTTTGTCACTATTTTGAGTTTTTGCTCTATATTTCTGATGCTGCTTCTTATATTCCATTTCCTACCAGTTTCTGGAGCTGTGTTTATTGCCCTAAGAACCCAAAATTTGATGGAAGTCCTTAAAATATGGTTCCAGAAATGACAGCATGTTTTATTTTTTGGGGAGAAACTGTTTCCAAAGCCTTTCTTCGTGTCTCTTCAGTCGACCCCAAATTCATTAAAAGATCAATACGCTCGGTTTCCTCTGTCTCTAGATCAAACAGGTTATGGGAAAGAGGTATAGAGAAATTGGGTACGAATGCTAAGAGATTAGATCACAAGGACTGGCTTGCTCCCAATGAAGTGTTGAAAATATTCAAAAGTGTGAGGGATCCGCAGATGGCTTTCGATCTTTTCCAAAAGTTGGTTAGGCGTAAGGACTATAAGCCTAATGAGGCTCTTTATACCATTTTAATCGAAATGCTTGCTAGTGCAAAGAAGTTTGATGCCATCGAAGAACTCCTGACTAGAATGAAAATGGAAAAATGCAAGCTATCTGATGAATTCTTCAGACATTTGATAAAGTTATATGCTAATATTGGAAAAAACGCTGTTCAGGCGGTGAATATACTCTATAGAATGCCTGACTTCCATTGTTGGCCTTCTGTTAGGACTTTTAATTCTGTGCTCAATATGCTTGTTTGTGCAAAGCAATATGAGATGGTACATGAAGTTTACTTGAGTGCCTCTCAATTGGGTGTTGCTGTTGATACCTGTTGCTTTAACATTCTTATCAAAGCCTTGTGTCAGTGTGGGGACTTGGATGCTGCATTTTCATTGTTGCAAGAAGCCCCAAAACAAGGTTGCAGGCCTAATGCAACCACATATGCAACCCTTATGCATGGCCTATGTAAATCAGGGAGAGTGAGTGAAGCCTTTGAGCTCTATGAGAGAATGGAGAGAGAAGTGTGCTACCCTGATACAATAACATTCAATATATTGATATCTGGGCTTTGCAAACAAGGGAGTGTAAAGCAAGCAATGGACCTTTTGCATACGATGAAGCTGAAGGGATGTTATCCTAATTCAGGTTCATATCAAGCACTTATCTATGGCTTGCTAGATGCTTCAGATTTTGTCGAGGCAAATAAGCTTTTGAGCTTGATGGTTTCGAAGGGTATTTTCCCTAGTTTTTTGTCTTACAAAATGCTAATTGATGGATTATGTGACATGGACTTGCTACGTGATGTGGATGCAGTTCTCACGCAGATGATAAATCAGGGGTTTATTCCGAGGATGGGGACTTGGATGAGGATCCTTGAAAGCTTATTTAGGGGAAGGACTTGTGGTACTTTTATCCATGAAGATCTGTTGTCTATCTGTAATACTAATTATTGAAATGATTTGGTTTGGGTCTGAATCTACATTTTTCACCTCACTTTCAGAAGATGCGAGCCGACCTTCTTGTTAAATACAATCATAGCAAGTTGCAATCTTACCTTTCACCATAGAGATATGGATCACATCATCTCAAACCACAATGCTTTAGGATCAATTGAATAATTGTAAATTTCAACTGGCTGTGCTTTCCAAATGGGCAATGGTTGTGGGTGGCTTGTAATTTTAATAGGAGATGAGCTGATTGATATGATGAGGTTATGAGAAGAGAGGTATGTACGAGCCAAATTTTTGTTCTCCTTTGTTGTCTGTTCTTTTAGGCTCTTCAATCAGTAGTTTATATTCTGCTTTTTAAATAGTAACTTTTCATTTATTTTTAATTTTTTGTAGGATACACTGGGATTTGAACATTGTGCATTGTCATGAAGCTCAATGCTAATCACTAAGCCAAGCGTCCAAGCCTCATTCACATTTCATTGTTTGTCTGACATATCAATTTGGATCTCTCTTTGTTTCCTGCACCGGATATGATGGACATCAAACAGTAATTTGCATGTAAGAATTTTGCTTTCCTCTTTCTCTTTCTATTTTGGGCATGTCATGAGAGAAGCTCTGTCACACAGGTACTGATTTTCAATCTATGATTGGAGAGAGGATTGTGAGATTCCGTTTGAAGAGCTTGCTCGATGTTGATGCAACCAAGGAGGTGCTGGTAGGTAACGAGGAAATATCTGGTAAAACCAAAGGCTACTAAGGCCATATTGTAGTAGCCGAGGAGTTGTTGTATTGAATAAAAGAATTTTCTATTTAAATGTATGATCAATCACATTCGTGAAGTCCACTGACCTGAATGAAAATTCAGCAGAACTCATGTAGCAAAAAAAATTAATTGTGAGGGTGTATCACTTTTTGAGGTGGGTTTACGCTTTCTATACAACTACTTTTGGAATCCATTAAAATTGATGTTCCACAATGGATTAATTCAACTTCGAATGGATCACTTTTTTGCTGTGGATGGTCTTAGCCATAGTCAAATTGCAGGCATTTGGACTGGTATAATATGATACTTTGAAGAGATTCTTACGATGCATCTACTGTTTTATTACTTAATTTGTTCGTTTTTTGCTGGATGTAACTTTTCTCTCACATAAATACTAGAATATTGTACCACAAGACAATTAGCTTCTCAAGGAAACTCTTCTCGAATCATATTCTCCAAACCAAGGACTGGCACCTCACTGAACTGTGGTTTAGCAGTCTTCAAGGGCATGCCACCTGCAAGCAACACCCTCCAAAATTGGCTTATGTCTACCCCCTTAAGTGGCGCTTGCATCCACAAATGATTGAGATTTTGAATAGCAGCTTGCTTTTAGAAACACTAAATTGAAGCTCCACAAAATTTGCAGGATGCCTACTTGTGGACCAGTGCAACTACGTACTTTTCCTCAGGACAGCCAAAGAAGCCCTAAACCATTATAAGCAACTCTGCTATGTGGTAATTAATGGCCCTTATGACAAGTGTTAGGGTTAATGAGGAGACAAACAACCATATCCATAGAACAATTGAAAAGAAGAGGGTTGATACTAACCAACAGTTGTTTATTTTGTAGGGAAGATGAGGAGACATACTCCTTTTCTAAAAACCTTTGGTGCTGCTTATTGAATAAATCTGAACTCAGCTGGGTTACTCCTTGTGTTCTGAGTCATTTGGTGACACATTGGTTCTCTCTCTCCTTACCCAGATCAGGTATTTTGTTATGGAGGATTGCAATGACAGCCACACTTTATGGCACATATGGAACAAAAGAGATATTAGGTACTTTGAGGGTGTAAAGCATTCCAGTGGACATGTAAAAGCTAGAATTTGGTGACACATTGGTTTTCTCTCTCCTTACCCAAATCAGGTATTTTGTAAAGGAGGATTGCAATGACAGCCACACTTTTTGGCATATATGTAAAGAAAGAGATAGTAGGTACTTTGAGGGTGTAAAGCATTCCAGTGGACATGTAAAAGCTAGAACTATGGCCACTATTGCAGTATTGGCATTGGCGACAGAAAGAGTTTAATGGGGTTACCAAAGGAATATATCATGCTCAATTTGTAGCAAGTCGCCTTGTAGCGAAGTAGGAAGCCTGCATGGGGATGGATTAAACTAAACTTTGATGAAAATGTTAAAGGGCCAAAATGAGAGCGGGTATTGGTGGCCTAATAAGGTATGAAGTATCAATACAGTGCTATCATTCTCAGGACCTTGTGGACATATATTAGAAATATTTTTGTTTGTGTATATTTGTCTGTGGGTTTCATTTAATGCACTTATTAATCAAGAGCATACTGTGATGAGATATCGTTGTTGAAAACTTTAATTCTGTTTACCTTATATAGAGAAGTAGAGATGTTGTTTTCCAATATATGTTTTGCCTCAGATATTTGTGATTGTAGTTTTTCATCTTATACACTTGCTAATCCTGAGTAAACTGTGACTACTAGAGATTTTGTTGTTTTCCAATATATGTTTACCTCATATATTTGTGATTGTAGTTTTTCATCCTTTACACTTGCTAATCATGAGTAAACTGTGACTAAACATCCTTGTTGAAATTTTTGACTCTATATAGCCCTACATAGAGTAATTTAGGAAGGGGGATGTTATATATTTAGAGTTGTATATATAGTAACGGCCTTTGAAAGGTCAACTAAACAAAAATGTAGTTTGACCATTGAAGGGTGGAGCTACTTCCTTTTGAGAGCCAAACTACTAAAACAGTAAAGTCAAGGTAGTTTCACCGTTCAAGGGTCGAACTATGGGTAATTTGGGCAATAAAATGAATTCACAAAAAAAGGGACCTCATAGTAAAATTGAACTATTTTAGGACCATTTAGAGGGAGATTAGGTAGCCAAAGAGCGGTAGAGAGAGTTATTTATGGTTACAAGTTGAAGCAGCCTTCATATGAAGGGTTTTAGGTATGTGGTTACTGCAGATTTTGGTTTTTTTTTTTTGTAACTAATTGTGTACATCATTCGTAGTACATTTGAGTCTCATTAATGAAAGGGATTGTATACAATGAGACCATTGGAGCTAGGTCAATGAAATAAATGCAGCCACCCAATTTTACATCCAATGGTCAAGATTAATTGTAACCACCTTGTACCAAAAAAAAATGGTTTTATCATAAATTTTCCTTAATAAAATCATGTCAAATGTTTCCAAAATAAAACAATATTTAGGGTGTCCTCCCATTGGATGTCCTTGTCCTTATATTCACTCTTCAGGAGAAGCATCTTAGCTTGAATGGATGGCTAGGAGTGTGTATTGTATTTTATTTTCTTTTAGTGCATCAAATTAAGCTTAAATATTAGAGGTAGTCATTTTTTTCTTCTTAATTTATTTGCCTTTCATTTTTTCATATGGGTGATTGTGAGAAGGATAACTGCTTTTTTTGGGGTGATATAAGCGTTTTTTATATCCAATATTCGAAGCTTTCAGACATGCAACATTTGAAGCCTTCGAGCATCCGTGTTTGAGTTACTCTTTGGGCTACAAAGACAAATGTGGGCGGTTCATATTAGATGTCCAAACCGCCCACAATTGGCATGTCTTTAGTGAAAGAGGGGTTCGACATTAGATGCTCAAACTGCCCTAGTTTAACAAAAAATAAAATATTAAACATCTAATCTCCGAAGTGTCTTTAAAAGATCTAAACATTGGATGTCTAAACCAATCTCCGAACTGTGTTTAAAAGATCTAAACAAATGGTTCGACATTAGATGCTCAAACTGCCTTAGTTCAACAAAAAATAAAATATTAAACATCTAATCTTCGAACTGCGTTTAAAAGATCTAAACATTAGATGTCTAAACCAATGGTTTTAAAAACGGATCGGTGTTCTGGATCGGGCATCTCAAAAATCGATCCGGATTGGTGAATTGGTGTTTTGAATCGGGAATCAACTGGATTTTTCTTTTTAAAAAAAATATTAAAAAATTATTATAAGTGTTTTTTAGGAATCCAATGAGAAATGAGGATTGAGATGTTCTTTTTCTGTATGAAGATTCTCATCAAACATTTATTAAAATATA